GTTGCATTGTATATTTTTCTTTTATGGTTAGTTTTGAAGCGTTTTAAATCACCTCCGAGTCGCAAACAAAAAGCTTACCACATTTTTTAAGATAGAGTTTAATGAAGTTTAAGCAGCAGTTACAGTTACCATAAAAAGTATTTGCTTTGATCTTTGCACCGATGAAAAAAAATTGACCTACTAGATGTGGAATTTCTGGCATGTCCCTTTATTGTCCGTATTATTCAGGTTTTATTTTAGGAATTTGGCATTCTCACTTGTTTAAGCCAGAAATCCAGCAGTTAAGGGATGACCTTGAACCTCTAAAATCACCACAAACGTAGACCTTGCGCCAAGGGTAGTTTCAAGGGTGCGTTTCCAAGGGAAGTCATTTTAATAAAAACACTGGTGTTGGAACCTTTTAAAAAAATTAAGTCCATGACCCTATTAAAATTATTAGCATTTTGATATCTATTCGTAAACGCGTGAAAAAAACGTTTGTTATTTTTATGATATCGTAGCTCATTGAGCTAGTGAAAGACGTAGGTTGTCCATTCACTTTTGGAGTCTTTACAAAATGGGACGAGTGCTTGAGAAAAGCGGAGAAAGAAGGAGATGACACCGTCAAAAATGTGACAGAAACAGCCGAGGTCTTCAAAAAGGAATTCTGGGAGGCTCTTCAAGGGAAAAGCAAAGTTTACTTCGTTAACGTGGAAAACTTTTTAGAACCTAACGTAAGTACTCACATTATAGATAATGAATCTTAATTTATGCACAAATTCTCAATGCAAACAAAGATACCACACACTGTAGACAGAAATGTCTAATAAGGAGAGCTATGAAAAAAGTCTAATCTGAGGCATGAACAAATATCAAAGTTTCAACTGAGCATAGAACCCTCTGACCCTTTAAGAGTTTCTTCTTTTCCTTTTTATTATTTTTTTTTTCCCTTTAACACCACATTTGGCAAGGACAGCGCCAGAAATAATAGATTAAATATTCTTAAACTAGTATGTTCAACGTTGTGGACTTTAGAGAACACCACAGTATAAGGGTAAAATTTAAGAAAAAGAACCTCTCGCTGACCTCCACTAACGTCTTATAGTCGATCACAACAATTTTGCTCTGATATTACGCTACCCATTCTTTTCAGTCCAGTTTTCAAGAGTTCGAGCGCACCTTGGCCACGAAGGCAACAGAGATAAAAGGCAAGTCATTAACAGAGCAGGCGAAATCTATCGCTTTACGATCCTTGGAGTACTGCGATCGGTTAAAAAAAGCCATCGGAAAGAAGAAGACAGAAAAGCTACAGCGTCTAGGTGAAGAGTTGGCTTCCGCGAAGAAAGGTAGTAAGACTCTACATAATCCTTTTGAAAGCATCAAGAGTGAAGATGAGGATTTACAAGTTTCCACCAGCGACACAAACCTGTTAGAGGAAGTAAATAAGAAGTTAAGTGAAGGAGCATTAGAAGAACATTCTGTCGAATTCTTCCTCAAAAAGATTAACGAGAAGACCACAAAGGCTATCGCAAGCAAAAGAGATGAAATCAGTAAAGCATACCAAGACTGGAAAAAAAACACAGCATGCCGCAAGTTTCAGTCTTTCAATTTACGGTTTCGTGAACCTCCACAGCTTCAGTATCGAGAATTACCTAAAGAAGAATACAACTGCTTATTTGACCCTCATTACTACTACACAAATAACTTTATCTTGCCCTGCACTTTTGGTGTTGTAGCTTTAGCAAGTCCAGCTGTTGCTCTCCTTGTTGCCGTCAAAGCAGGTGCGTGAGTCAATGTCAAACATTTCAGATGAAGTATCAAGTCCTATTCAGATATCTCGAACCCCAGATATTCTTAGAAGCGAGCCATCCCGGGAGTGGACTTGAATTACCAACGCAATTTTAAAATCAATCTTTCGAAATAAGGCTATGTCTCTGGGTGTTAATTTGTATCAACGAATCTTTCGAATTTCAAACTAGATGTTAAAACTTGGGCTGTTCTTAGAAGCTCACAGTTGGTACAACTGACAAACATCTGTACATGTTCTCGCACCACGTGGCGGCTATTTTTTTAATTTTAAATACATGCCATTCACAATAAAAGGGCGAGTTCACAACCACAACAGGAAGCTAATTTTAATTTTTGAAACCGACACCAATACGTGTATTTCTGCTTTCATGGTAGACCAAATTTTTTTTAATCAGGGATGAAGACTTGACTTTGGTTAATAGTTGTCTATTCAGGAAAGCAACCAAAGCTAACAGCATGTAAAATTGCTACTGTTAATCAGCTGGGTTAGGTGTATAATTGCTGTGGCGCTTTACACAGGCCTTCGAAGGTAAAAAGTACTCTTTCCTTTACTTTATGATATTTTTCTCTGGGTCAAATATACGGAAGTCTCTCATTTACGTATTCCCCTCCTCTTGATATTGACTGTCACA